CCGTGTCCGACCTGTGAAGAGCTCAGTCACACAGTCTGCCACGTCTCAACCAGAAAACACATTTAATCACACACATGAAAGGCATACACACACACCAACACACACTTCCCTCATTCTGGCCCACACAGGCGTTCCCTCAGGACTAGACTCACCACACACATACATTTGTACAGCTATAGTTGTGGGGACATAATGCATCCCCCACACTAACACCGACCATCAGCTAAACCTGATTCTAACCTTAAACGTGAAGCCAAGTCTTAACCCTTAAACTCAACCCTCTTACTCCAGTGTCAGCTCAGCGTTTAAACACAACGAAGAAGAACACCAGTGTTAACTGGTGGGTTTAATTTTCTTTCCTTAAGGAGTGTGAGGCAATAAGGGCCGGCCAAAACGTCTCTCATAGTGTAAAACTTAAGCCTCACACTGTCGGCCACAAGTACCACATGTTCTGTATGGGTACAGTGAAATCTACCATCACTGTTTGTCCTAAAGCTGCAATAATCAAAACCTTTTACTCTCTGTTAATGCTGTGCAATGTGAAAGGAACTCAGCAGCTTCACTGAGCTTGTTTTCTTCTTTCAGCTCATAGTTTGTGGTTTTACTAGGTTGGTCAGTCTCATGAAATCTCATCAGCTCTGTGTCAAGCAGCAGGCAGCAGTCTGCAATACCACGAGCGCTGCTGGTGCACTACCTGCTCAGCGGCAAACAGCCGGCAGAAACAGAGACGAGCTGGTGGAGGAAGATGGTTTTCACAAGCAAAGCTAAAATTATTACACAATTTATAACTATATACATATATAAATATATTATAAAATTATTAGTTATAAAGCCCCACCATATAGAACAGTAAATAATGAGCTGTGATTTCCTCCTGTCTATTGTTAAATTAGAAACCTAAAAAGACGGGGCTTTTTCAAAGGAAAACCTGAAGCAAAGTGTTTTTGTAATGTGAGAGGAGGCCCAGGAGTGACGTGACGTTTGTCTAGAGCCACATTTGGACATTTATACCCCCTTTGCTGTTGGGTGGATCAGTTTTGTACAAAGATAAACTTTTTAAATTTGCCTGTTCCTCATTTTGGGCTATTGCTATAATTTGACTGTTACTGAAACATTTTTATTTTTGTAATTGTGTTTGTTTTGTCACAATTTTATGTAAATCTTCTTAAGCTGAATTTTATGTTTGAAAGGTGAAATGTATCTATTATTTTAATACATGCAATGGCATACAGCTCACACAGACAACAGCAGACATTCTCTAAGTCAGATTCTGAGACAAAGGACAAACTGAAAATACATATACAGTAAGTGGGTAAATAAATGCATGTGAGTGTGTGATCCTGTATGTACTGGAACGTTCCTGTGTCTGTTGGCTGTCCATGCCGCAGCTCAGGACCCTCTTCCTGCGATGGGTCTAATGAGACTCCCTGTTAACGCCATGACACACACTGTAAATGCCAGGTTTGACATCTGGGTGCCAGGCGGGATGACACTGCCGCCCGTGTAAGGTGCTGATCTCTGAAGTATCGCTGTAAATGTCAGGCTGCTCTTCACACCAGGAATCTTACACGTACACACAGTAGATACAGCAAGCATGTAGGAACACACGCAGCATGAAAGTCGCATGCTAGCATAATGATGTGCACATCAGGGTGTTGTACCCGGTACTTTTTACCATACTAACCCTGAGAGACGAGACAGTCCAAGTAACTACAAAACACCCATACTACACAGAAACGTCAACCGAGACGTCTCTGTTGCCAGCTTTGCAGCTGGTCATAGCAGTAGTCAAAACATGAAGCAAATCAATGTGTGAATGTGTGTGTCTGTTGATTAAATGGTGTGTAGCTAAAAACATTCTCACGACCTCTAGTACATGTCGTGACTTAAACATAAGAACATATTATGGCTAAGGCTACCGTTATACACGTCGTAATAATAATATTAAACACCCTGTCTGCTGACAGTCCTCAACTCTTCTCTCTAGTTATCCTTGACCAGATGTACCCTGTAGAAACTCATAAGCATGACTAAGCATTTAACAGTCTAACTAGACATCCTATCTCCACTAAACATTTCTAATACATAAAGTATCTATCCAATTTCTATCTGACTAAAAATACCAGAAATACCTAACAAGGGCATGACAAAGGCAGAGACCAGAGCACACATGCAGTGAAGCAGGACTAAGTTAATGATGTTAACACAAGTGAGCATCGACGGCTGCAGCACCACGAGCTTCTGTAAAGTAACCGACCTTCAGCCATGTTAGCGTTGGTCAGGTGGTCGATCCCTGTGGTCCAGACTGAAACATGTCAACAGCTGTTTGTCACTGCCTTCCCACCTGCATATTACTATGACAATGACGACACCTGTGAATCTCTGATCTGCCAGTTAACATAACAAAAACAACTTGAGATGGGAACAGAACTGCAGTCTCCTGTGTCTAAGTCACAGCCTACATCAAGCCACATGCATCACTGCTGACAGACAATAGTCGCATGGTCCTCAGAGCTCTTTGTCAGGCACATGAAAACACAGGCTGCTGGGAAAAAACAATTGGTGCAGTTTTTACAGTACCTGTGAGGACCCACTCCTCTTCTGTCCAAGTATACAAGAAACAGAAAACACACTTTCTCTAGTAACCAGTGGGTGTCTAGATTAGCCAATGAAAAAGCTTCAAGAATCTGATATAAACTGCAGCAGTTATGGACAATGTTCTAAAAAGAAAACACTATGTATTTATATGGTAATGATTACGGTTATTCTTTTAAGAGGTTCAGTGCGTAACAGTGGACAAGGGAAATGTAAATGAGTCATGCACTGTGAGCAGAGAATACATTCATATGCAAAACCTCACAAGAATACATCCAGAGCTGATCACAAAAGGTTCCACATTAGATTTGTACATAAAGAGAAGGTGGACAGTGCTGTACCTTGGCAGTCTGCAAGTTCCTGCAAACTTAAGCTTGAAATTCATCTTGTTCTTTAGCCTCCCTTTATTTAGCATGAGCTTTTCAACATATTGATACGCGCATGAATCAAATGATGCTCTGCGTGTCACCAAGATGCAAAGCCAACTGTTAACCAGTCACTTAGTTAAGCTGCCAACTCATTTACACTATCCACATAAAACTCCTTTTACTTCAGTGTTATTGACGTCACTAGCTGTGATAGAAACATGCCTCCAGTCACATTTCACAACAGACATTTGGTCTGGACTGTAGCTTGGCTAACTTTAATGCTAGCTGACTCCATACTGTACCTGCTTAGAAACAGATGACTCCTGAAATCACAGCCCATACAGTAAACACGGGTACACAGGCCCGGCACCATAGACATTAAATTTACACTAAATACCTTTGTCTCCTTGTCCTTAATTTATTCTATATTTACAGATTACATAGCTACAGAATCATATCAGTGCACATCTGGTTGACAACAGACAATCATGTTACATGTATAGTTTTTTACAGTAATCTGTGGCGTTTGCTGTGAGTAGGAGGCTTGGGTTCCCTGACTTTATTTTTTCAGGCACAGGGAACATGCACCACGCCTGGACACATGTGCTGCCTGTAGGACAAACTCAGGGAACAAACGACTCGCTCGCTGACGTTCCATAACTACAAAAATGATTGGAGCTGGAGAGCAAAATACTTCCATTAGGAGACGATGATATGAATGTGGCATTAAAATAAAGTTATACTACAATGTCACTGTGTTTTCCAGAGCCCAGTTATGAGCTTGGTGATGACACTGTTGTTGTCACTGAGTGAAAACAATGAGCCAAACTAAGTATAAACTAAGGACATCTCAGCGGTGATGATGCTGGCTCAGCAACAAGCTCTCTCTCTGACCTTAGGTGCCGCTGGTGTTTCACACTCTTCAGACTGACTTCCAAGTTATCTTGACAGCATTCACAACATGTTACTGCCCAACCAAACAGCCTTCAACACGCACAGCAGCACAGTGTTAACTGCCAATCTGCCGCTAGCATTACACGAGGACAGAAGTGGCTGGACCGTTTCTTGGCTCATTAGGATGAAGGAACGGTTGGCAGCAAAAAGGAAAAGCTGGAGCAGCAAACAGTCACCAGCACACACACACAAACACAGTGCAACAACTGTAGGTACGTAATCACCAAGTACTCAAGATGTGGATAGAAAACGTGAGGAGGTGAGATGCTGAACAAAGCAGCTTCTGTCTACTGGAAACCCTCACACACACACACACACACACACACACACACACTGAATTCATCCTCTGTGCTTCCCTTTGCTGTTTAATAAACCAGACATGATGAGTCAAAAAGATCTTAACATGATGCTAATTCATGTTAAACACTTTTAATTTTACACATTGAAACATTCTGAAACTATAAAATGTGTGTATGTGAGCGAGAATATAAAGTACAATTAGGTACCAAACTGTACTGGAGGCTGTCAAATCGGCACTTGTAGACCCGGGACGTGTTCTGACAGAGTAAAATACAACCTGGGAAACGAGGCTCTTCTCACTCAGAGCAGACAACTCCTACAAAAAAGTCATATCTTTCAAAAAAAGTCACTGTAAGGTTCTGTAAATGTTTTGTTGCCATGTGTGTTACTGTTAAGTTTGATTAAAGCTGTGTGAATCAATATTTTTATATTAACAATGGACAACACATAAAGTAAGAGGGAGCCATGTGGAGACAAACCCTGAGAGTCTTCATCAACTCTGTAGCTCTATGGAGCGTGTCAAAGCTTGTTTTGGCTTCACTACAGACTGTTGTGCTACCCCCACATGGTCGAGATATTTAACTACTGTAGCCTTAAACATCTTACTGAAGATTATTTATGAGTCAATACAACCAAATCTTTCCTTGAATTTTAAAAAATGAACAATAATAACTAGAAAGAATCCATCCATTATCTACACCACTTATTCCTGAATAATACTGGTGCATTTTAGACACATTCATTCCAGATCACAAGGACACGCACAACACACGACTGTCTTACCTTCATGAGAACAGACTCGCTGAGCTTTTCTCTGTTGACAATCTTTATGGCAACTTTCTGACATGTGACACAGTGGATGCCCAGCTTCACCAGACCTGAAAGACAAGCATTAAATAAAGTTCACTTCAAAGTCTGAGTCACGCTGGGAGAACGGGGAATATCAGAACTTTGAAGTGCACCAAACTTTTCAATCTGACAGAGGAGAGCATAACAGGAAAAAATCAAAAGCAGAGCCGTGGATCGGAATTAATGACACCGTATTCAAGGCTACCCATCATCCTCTGGGACACCAGTCACTGCTGGGATCCAAAAATGTTAGCTGCCTTAAAATCACTCCACAGGCTGCACTGAAGCAGATGAGTGGGGATGAAACAGATCCTGTGTAGTTAAGGCAAAACAGAGCCGGAGAACGTCTACTGAAGCAATGAGGCTCATTTTTCACCTTGGAAACAGTCTGTGTGGCAAACTGATCTGGACCCAAACGTCTTATGAACTAGGTTTTTCTCACATCATCATCCTCATCATGTGACCTGCAGTAAGTGTATTTGTAGTTTCAAAACAACTACACAAGTTCATTAATACAACTGAACAACTTCGACCTTCACCGAACCCTGAGGCATTTTTGACTACTGAGAAAAAGACAGTTCAACAAGGATCAATGAAGATCAGAGGATCAATGACACTGAGTGCTAAATATGAAGCGCCAGCCAAGAGACTGTTAGCTTACTGTAGCTTAGCATAAAGACTGGAAGCAGCAGAACAGACCAGCCAGACTCAAGCATCTCTAAAACTCACTAATTAAGAAGTTAGATGCAGTCGATTTACTCCGCACACACAGACATGTAAAAATGACTTGGACATGATTTTATATAGAGCTGTAGCTGTTTTTTCACAGAGCTTTGCCAGTGGAAACTCGAGGAAGTCACTGGCCAGATGAGGACAGAATTACAACACCACTCGCTGTGGTGTCAGTCTTCTCATCTACATAACTCCACTGAAATGTCTTTAATGTAAAGACACGACTACAGAGCATTACCCCTCTCAGAACAGTCAAAGTCGTTTCTCAGTCTGACGTAACATGTTTCGTTAAATGCAGTTAAACTGCAGTTTGCAGTAATTATAACCTTGGACCTACTTAAGGACAGGACACAAATCCTGGCTGTGATCACCAGGGCTGAGAAGAGTTTAGTTTTCTGTATAATACGTTATCAAAACAATTTTTTATACGACCTGGAAGGATGAGTTCATGTCTCCATGTTTTCATGATGATGCCCTGTTTATGAAAACGAGCAGTTGCACCCCACTGAGGGCTGTGACTACAACTACAAGCTCCAGACATCATTCTTGTCCCACTGTTCAAGCCCAACATATACCATAATCTATAAACACAAAAATAAACTAGTCACAATACTGTGGATTCGATCATGTTAGAGGGAGTTGAATGATTACTGCACGTCGCTGCTTTCATTACCTGTAACTCTCAGCTCTGTGTTGTTTGTCAGTGTACAGAACATAAAGCGGGCGGATAAAAACGCAATCGACTTGCAATCTGTAACTCCCAAGTATCCTTCACTGTGTACATCTGAGAGCTCTCAGCCACAATGGCTCCATCCATCTCTGTCAAAGCTCTAGCACCAGGAAGTATATTTCACTTTGTACTTAAGGTCTGCAGATGGCTCTGGAAATGCCATTGCTCATATGCACCTCTTCATTGCCTGATGCTACACATATATTTCACAGGAGATGAGTGTCTCGCTATTCGAAAGGTGATTTCCCTGCGGGGTCTCACAGTGTAGCAAGCAGAGCTGTGAGCAGCAGGGGTGTGTGGACCAATACGGCAGCCTGGGGGCTCTTTTAAGTCTCCTGTTAGAACCGAAATGGCATTCTGGGCGACATTTACTAGGTCTCATTGATCTAGTTGTCAGAGCAGCACAACTGCTTACCACAACACCGGGTGAAGAAAGGCCTGTAAAGGCTCCTGTATGGAGGCGTGTGAGTGTTGGAGGTGCACACATTCACCCTTACAAGTTATGAGTGGTACTGAAGTGGTGTGCCAAGGGAGCACAGAGGAAATGCGGATGGAGTGAAGCAGGATCAGCCTCTGAGAAAATTCACAGACGGAGAAGGTTCAGGGCAAGAAGGTGGCTGAGCAGGAAGCAAGAGAAAATCAAGAAGCAGAATCTAAGATGAGCCAAAAGCATCTGTTGAGATTCATGTGCCACACGAAAGGGTTGAAAGGCTGAACACACAGAGAACAGTCACAGCTGTGCAGCTCTGCTAAGAGGTTTAGCTCGTTGTTTTGGCAGCACATTTCCTGGTTGCTGGGTCTAATGGTTCTAGAAATTCCTCAACAGCAGCTAATGACCGAAAAACTTAAGCGTTTCAGCATCTTTTAGCGCACTGACTTTGACTTTGCAGCTGGTTGAGTCTCAATGCTTCCAGCAGCCAAGAAGACGTTCTAAAAAGCCAAAGCACATGCTCTGCTCAGCAGCACACAGCAGACGGACACAGTTAAAGACCTGCTGGAGCATCTAGCGGCTACAGAGCCAGATGTTTTAGTTAATGTAGACCAAGTCAGAGCGAAAAGTGAAAATACGCTGCTATTTTCTAACTTTGGGCATATGTCAGTGATGTGGGTTTTCTTTTATAAGTGCAGCCTGAATGTCTAGAAATGACTCAAAATGACCTTTAACTTTCCATAAACAACTCTGGAAGTATCTGCTAATACCAGTATTAGATAAACCATTTAATGCACAACAGGATCTAAACACACTGTACCACTATAAGCAAAGGTTTTCTGCCTTAAAGTCAACCTCAAGACATGAAAAAATAAATAGTTTAGAAGTATATAAAAATGTTTTTATATGGCACCTTTCAAAGTGCTGAACAACATCAAACATATAACACTGCCTCCAACTCTCACTGTATATTTACTTATTAATGTTCATGCCTCTGTGCCCATGACAGCCGCAACCAGAGGTGTTATGTTTTCAGCTTGTCCATCCACAGCGTTCTCCTGAATATATCTCAGGAACGCCTTGAGGGGATTTCTTCATGAAAGACAATAAATTTCAACTCGACTATTAAGTACTCAGACTGAGATGTTCTTACTGAAGAACACTGGTTATAAGAGGCATCTGCACATTCCTTTGAATCCATGGTGGGTTTTATTACATTACACTCATTTATTCTTTCATCCAAAGTGACTTGCAGTTCGTCAAATCACTCCAGAAAACAGGTACAGCAGATGTCAGGGCCTCAGTTTCCACTAAAGCTGTGACCGTTGTAACGTTTCTGGAAATAAGCACAAGGCTCAGATCATGGTACAGTCATGTCTTCACACACGTGACCTCTGAGGGAGAAACACTGTTCACAGGTCATGTGACAACTGCACAGGCCCACTGAGGGTTGTAAGGAAGACTGATCCCTGCTAAAAACACATTTGTGCTACTATAACGTCCTGTGAGGTGATTCTGGTCTCCTCTAACCCCTAAATGTGTGAACACACAGCTTTCTGTTTCTGATCCAATCCAGCAGGAAAGTCATAAAAGCACTTTGTCTGACATTTATCATCGTGTTTCCTAGTTATTAGAATCATTATTTGGCTCAGAACTGGGGCCTAAAGGAATCACCTCTGGTGTTTTCACATCCATCCACTTCGCTTCTCACCGCCTCGTTTCTAAATAACCCAGCGAGGGCAAGTTCATCACAGCTTTTACATTTGCTTTGCTTCCTATGATTATACAAGTTGAGGTTTTTAAAGATCACTTTAATCATTTTAGACTAAAGTCAACAAATTTTACACACACACACACACAAACCCTAAACGAATTAAATAAAAATGAAAAGGATTTAGTTCTCTCTACTAAAATGACACACCTGTTGTCACACCACAACATCAGCAGGCAACGAAGCAGCTCAGAAATCTCCAAATGTCACGGGTCCAAATGCAAAACAAGAAAATAGGATGAACACTCTTAAAAAACACGGCTAGCTGGTTATTAACAAACTGTCAGCATATTTGTCAAAAGCGAGATCTTAAAAGAAATGACTAGGACCCACTGGTGTACAGAAGAGTGACATGATTTATAGGCAATAACACTGAACAGCTGACTGAATGATTAAAGACAAACACAGTGATTTTGGTGATTGGTTCCTGCAGAAAACAATCAGATGTTTGACCTCAATATTTGTACCATCACGGCCACAGCCCTGCATCCTGAGCTTTAAATCCACGGGCACAGCAGTGTAATGATCACGCCTCACTGCAGGATTAGTCAGTCTTTCAAAACAATGTGATTAAGAAAATCTTTAGCAAAATGAAAACTCCCGAATGTGACTCTATGTCAAGGCAAGAACCAGAGCACTGTAGACTCAGCCTACAACACAGAAAGCACTCCAACAGTAATATTAATGATGGATGATTTTTGTACCCTGCACCAATATGCCCTGAAGAAACATGTTATGGTACAGTCATGTCTTAAAACACATGACCTCTGAGGGGGAAACGCTGTTCACAGGTCATGTGACAACTGCACAGGCCCACTGAGGGCTGTAAGGAAGACTGATCCCTGCTAAAAACACATTTGTGCTACTATAACATCCTGTGAGGTGTTTCTGGTCTCCTCTAACCCCTAAATGTGTGAACACACAGCTTGTTTCTGATCCAATCTAGCAGGAAAGTCATAAAAGCACTTGGTCTGACATTTATCACTGTGTTTCTCAGTTATTAGAATCATTATTTGGCTCAGAACGGGGGCCTAAAGGAATCACCTCTGGTGTTTTCACATCCATCCTCTTCGCTTCTTGCCGCCTCGTTTCTAAATAACCCAGCGAGGGCAAGTTCATCACAGCTTTTACATTTGCTATTTGAAACATCTCAGTGTGCGTTCTTCGGTTTTAATCATGTGACACGAAAAGAATAATGAACTAAGAAGAATATAGATCCTGCACATTCACTGCCAGGTGTAGCTCCATGTAGACTGCATTTGTAACATTTGTTTTTGGCAAAAATTAAGCATGAATCAGTAAGAGTTAATTTATCCTACAGGCAGCAATAAAATACTTTAAGTACGGTAGTTATCTGAATAGTGTC